ATTAAACTGGATATATATACATTTGCTTAATAATTAGAATAGAGGAAAAAGATATTTTTCTTATTAATTGTAGCTTTGTTTAAAGAAAAAATGCCAAGATTTAATGCAAAAACAAATCTTTCTAAATACACACAGAGAAGTGAAACTATGCGATTAAGACGAGAAACCAGAAGTTCTGAGGAACATTTGCGAAACAATGACACTGATAGGGAACGGATGGTGCAGTTGCGTTTAAATGAAACTCAGAACCGAAGAAACCAACGGTTAAACGGAGATATATCACGACATAGACGAACGCGTCAACACGTAACTGATGTAAATAGGCAACAAAATCGAGAGTCTTGCATTTCAATATATGATCCAGTAATTGATTATTCAGCACATCCCAATATTATTGTTGGCAAAATGAATATTGAATGTGGATTTTGTCATGCATTAAAATTTAAAAATGAAACACCTGGAATATGTTGCGCATCAGGAAAAGTGGTATTGCTTTCATTGAATCCACCACCCGAGCCCTTGAAAACATTAATAGCTGGCTAACATATGAGTCAAAATTATTTTTCAAAAAGTAAAATAAAATAAAAAATAAAAAAGTAAATAAAATCAAAGATTTTATTAAATACGTACTTCCTCAGTGTCTTTGTTTACAGTTCAGCTGTTGTTTGTTTACATTTTACATATTAAACATATAACACATATTTGAAATTTTGGTTATTTTCCTTGTGGGAAATTTATTTTTAATGGTTGCATTAGACATTTTTCGCCTTAAATGAGCTGATTTGTTGATAATGAGCTCATTTGAATTAAAGATTTTTGTGTGGTGAATCATCCTTATTAGTAGTTATAATGAGCAAAACTGCCTAAATGAAACAGTGTGAATGTGCTATTAGCGGTATTCACTCTTTAGAGCAATGTCCAGTGCTACAGAATTATTGTGAATCAATTAAACAAATTCAGAATCCCACCTACTTATAATAATTAATAAAGTTAAGTTGCGACTTGTATGAAACAGCTGTTTTTGTTTAAATTGACCTTACTTACATATAAGTCATATGTAATCATAACATCATCGCTAAAATAGAAATATTATTTCACTTTTAAACTCCTATGATATAAAATATCAAACCTTTTCTATGTATTTCACAGCTCTCATCAATTAAAAGAAAAGCTAGTTATAAAACACCAAAAAATAAGAACCAAAAAATAAGAACACCAAAATATATTTGCCAACACTGCACATTTGACACATTCGGTTTTCAGTGCTGACCATACCTTATTTCAAGTTCTGGTGACATTATTAGAAAATTGTAAGTATATAACATAATTATTGTACTCAGTGACTATTTCGAAACGGAGTGATGTTGTTATGATATTAAACATAAATTTGTTTTACATATTATAGAAAAAAGCCTGAATACAGTGTTCCAAACAAGAAGCTTGAAGTAAATACTTACTATTACTTCAGTACGAGTTACATACATCAAAAACAGAAATAAATTCTTGAGTGTAAGTACAGCAGAATAAATTTATTTTATTATATAAATTAATAAAATATATTATTGACATCATGTAACAATATTTGAATTGCATATTTTTGGCGCTTTTGTTGGATATTTATATATAAAACGTGATAGTCTGGTCACAACTTCAAAACAAAACGCGTGGTCTTATTAAATCTTAACAAATATAATTATATATGCATAATGATATTAACATTGTGAGAGGTTTTAACTTCAACACTCCCCCTCAATGTTTATAACATAAAATAATATTCTTCATTTTACTTGAACACAAAATATTATTTTATAATATGTACATATTTTGAACAATTCAATAATTTTTAATGATATCATGTGTTACATATATTCATCATTTTAAACCAAGAACCATAGTTAATACACAATGATTAGTTTTTTGTAGGTTCTTGGTAACAATGTCCGCTAGCATTATATTCGTTGGATAGTATTTTAAATCAATTTCTATATGCCTTACGAACAAAGTGATACTTTATACCTTAATGAGCGCATAAAATACATGATTTTTGATTGAATTGATAGCACTCATTTTGTTAATATTTATAATAATTCCACGGCCCAAAGTTTTCTTAAATATATAGCCTATTTTGCTGCAGCGGAAAGCGTAGTCTGTTTTTAGCTCTACTAACTAAATACACTTCCAGCCAAGATAAACGAATAGCCTGTATAGGATTTTTGATCAGTTGCGTTGCCTCCCCATCTGCATCTGTATACTCTTCAATTGTTGCACCATTCTTATTGTAATGCAGTTTCATCTTGATAGTTTTGCTAAGGTTATGTGTGTGTGCTCAAAAGGAGGATCACAATTTCTCTGGGCTAGTTTACATACTGAGTGCAGCAATATACATCAGTGATTCAATCAATGACTGATACTCAGTAATGTGAACTTTATTACAACTTGTATTTATGCAGTGTATCTGAAAGTTTGGTTCAATATGGGTGGAAACTAGGCGACAGACACTTATACGAGACTTCTTTAAGAACTACAGAAATTGGTTTTGACTTATAGTCAAGGAACCTTTCTGAAAATTTCACCATAAAATTCCCTGTTTGAACTTGCCTGGTACTTAATGGGTTAAAATAAGACCTTTTCAAAAATTTACCCATAAAATTCCAAGTTTGAACTTACTTGGTACTTAATGGGTTAAGTTATTTATAATAATAGTATAATTTTTTAGTATAATTTTTATAATATAATATTAGTATAATTAATAACTAATTTATACCGAAAACAACAAAGAGAATATTTTTTATGCTAAAAATATTAGATTGCGGAATAAAGTGAGGAATCCCTGGCGACAATTTAGACGAAAATAAGACCCCAATGATAATCGGTGTAGTGAATAGATATTAATTAGAATATTATTTTCTAAAGTGTTTTTGAATGGCAAAGAAAGAATGGACAAACACAAAAATTTATTTAATTTTATTAAAACTTGGCTGACCATACAACGCTGTTTCGAGTATTGCCAAGTACTCATCATCACTATTTTCTATTATTTTTAATAATGCAATTTTTTACAATAATTTTTAAATTTCATACTGTGGCTTTTCGCAATTTTATTTGCTAATATATCTACGCTGTTCAACATTTAACTTCTTTATCCATATCAGTTTTTTGAAACGAAGTTCTAGACGCGAAGCAAGAAAAATATCAAATGGAAGTACGGTATCTGTATCTTATTTTTATCCTTTTACTGTTTCGCTCGCCATGTAAAGTTCAAAACAAACTAAGTAAACAATTTCACGAATTAAACTTTTTATCCACTTTAGAAATTAAATCAAGCTTGTAACTTTCAGACCCACAGCTAAAGTAAGTCTCAGCGTAATAAAAGAAAAAATATATGCGCCAGTTACAATCCCTAAAAAATGGGGAAAACGACAGGAAATAAGTGAAGAAGTAGTGGAGGAAAAATTACTTCAATTACTCGAAGTTGTTTAAAGCAAAAGTACTCAGCAGAGCGAAAAATTAATTTTTGTACTTCATTATTTTATCGAATATTTATTTTTTCATTTTAATTAAATCATAACTTTTCATTCTTTTTGAGTTAAATACCATTTAAAATTACAGTGGTTGAAAGTGGGCAGATAATTTTAAATGACCTCAGCTATGATGGTACTTAAGTCATTGTATTGGATTAAATTGCAGTGACGAAGAAGAAATTTTAAATATGTTATTTTTATACCAAAAAGTAGTTTTTGTTTTTGTAGTACAAATCCTTCTTACTTCTTACGGAACAGCTATTCGGCCCATAAATATTTTGCTGAAGTTATTAACATTCATTTTTTTTTTTTAAACCAATTGCATATAAAAAATATTTTTAAGGATAAAAATTGAGTACATACATTGAGCAACTTTCACTTGTTTATATCAAAGAAAAGATTTTATAAACAAATATAAAATTTGCATGGACCTTTCTAAAGAATATGTTCTTCCTTTCTTCTTTGTGAAAAAGGATAAAAGTGAATTAACAACTTAAATACTCACATATCAATATCTTTAATTGTGTTTTCCAAGATGTAATATATAATATATTGCTTGGCATTAGATATCTTGACTGTAAAACACTTCAATATTATTCCTTTACATTAATTAAACTCATAAAATTTTTCTTAAGCCTAATTAAGTTTTAAGGTAATCATTTTTCTAATTACCTTAATGAATCGTAGTATGGTTCTGTGAGGTCCAATACATAATTTAATAATATCATGCATTCATTTCTTATAAACTGAATGCTAAATATAAATAAAGTGAGTGAGTTATATCAAGTGCAATAAATTTTAAATAAGTAGAACCTTACATCATTGAATTAAGATGATATTAATACTTTTTATTAAGCTTAACTATATTCGAAACATTGTCAGAAAATTTTAAAAATTTTATATCTTCTAATGTATGAATAGTTTCTCTGTTAAAAAAAATAATAATGAAACCGAAGTAACCATTATCAAAAAATATCATATAACAAACATTTCTAGAGAGCCGTGTAGCGTTGAAAATTACCACTAAAATGATGGATATGGATTATATACACCCAACGTCCAAAGGTGTTACCACTTCTGTCGCTTACAAAGAAGCCATTACGATTGCAATAATAAAACTTGTTTCAACTTTTATATTTTTCAACCTTTATATTTTAATTCAAGTATAAAAAAAACAACAATCAAATACTAAAAAAGAAAAAATTAGAAAAAATTATTGTCGTCCAATGACGTTGAACCGTAAAAGCAAAAACTATGATTAAGCTATATTCTATAGTTGTATAATCACACTAACTGTCTATCTAGAATGTCTACAGTGAACATCAGACATCATTTAACATATGAATAACTGTTCTCAAAACGGTACTAAATCACTTTTCTACAGGCTTCAAGTTACAGGTAAATATTGTCACAAATAGTTTAAGTGCGATGATCTGTTAGAAGCAGAGACCATAAAAGTTATTAGAGACCATAAGTACTATTTTAGTACTCAAAAAATAATAATAAAATTTAATTAAAAATTAAATATGTGTACTATTAATAGGTTCTGCATCCGTTAAGGATGATTAAATCCGTTAGTATATAAATCTATTATTAAGTAGCAATGTACTCCAATATGTATTTTTTGTGGCATGTTGGCGGATTAAGCACAATAAGACAACCGATTATGTTTATAGTAGACGCAGATAAAACCTCTTTGGTAACTATACTCAACAGTATGGTATGATGAGTGTTATTACGACAACTGGTTGTCTTCATGTTCGAAAAGTCAATAATTTGATTAGAAACAAGTTAAAAGAGGTACAAGAACAAACGACTTTGTAAAATTCAAAAAGATCACTACTGTCTATATCGTTTTTGTGAGAAAATTGTCATACTAACCTCCTGAATCCATGATGATGTACTGTGAACAATAAATACTTACTTCACCATTTTATTAAATGTCTTCAATTTTCTATTTTAAAAATTTTGAAGAATAATTTATAATTATGTTCATATCATTTTAAGCTTAAAAAGCCTTTTATTTGAAAAAAACTAAATCACATAATTTAAAAATTTATTAAGTTCAAGTGATAGAGGAATCAAGGAAGAGTCAAACAATATAAAAGCATTTGTCTTGATAGCTATAATACTACAAATGCTCCACTGGCTCCTACTTCTTAGCTAAAAATTGTTAGCAATTGGTATCAACTCATTTAGGTACCATTTTGCAATAAATTCATATAAAATTTGTAATCATGTAATATCTCCAAGCACACTAAATTGTTCTGTAAAGTTTTTATTTATTGACAATAATAGCGCAATTTAATTGGATTAAGAAATGATCAAAGAGTCACGTGGTATTCTACGAGTCTACGACGATTATCGTATACGAATGAACAACGAGGTGTATGAGCTTTATCATAACATCGATATAATTTAGTGAATTAACATCCAGCAGTTTCACTGACTTGATCATGTCATGAGAATGGCTGAAGATACTCCAGCAAAAAAGAAACGGAAGCAGTAGTTGAAGAAAGAAGACGTAGAGGTAGCTAACTGGACTTGATGTACGAGACTGGAGAGATATGCTGCGTCAGACCGAAACCTGGTAGCGGGTTGTTGTGCCCACACAAGAAAGTAAGTAAAAGAATCCCGAACAACAACAACAACGAAAAGCAATTTAAAATTGGACAAAAAGAAATAATGTTTGTTTTATTATTTTAATATGTATTGTTTCACAAAAAAAAATGTAATTATAACACAGTTTTTGAAATATAATTCAGACATAATAATTTACAAATAATATATAAATAAGTTCTCCTTTCAAGTCAAGATTTTATGGAGTGATCTAGAACAGCATTTTTCGATCTCCAAACAATATTCTTGTGATAAATCTATTTTTATAAATCTATATGTTTAACTTCATTTTTCATCGGAAATACCCTGATGCGTAGAGTTTTAGCCTGGAACCGTTAAAGAGTTTTCATGTTGGATGTTGAGGGTGCG